AATAACTATAACTACTACTGCTGCTGCTGCTGCTACAATTACACCTACTTATCTACTATTAGATTGTTAAGGACATGGGGATCAAATGACATATATGAATATTAAACCAAATTTCAACAAAGCCACATCTAATATCTTACTTATCTAGTGGTGAAAGCTCTTTAAGTGGCACTGGTATTCTTCCTCTTCAAGAGGAAAACAGGTTGTGTGATTTGGGAGAAGTGGAAAGTGAATTTGTGTCTTGTACAGTACAGACTATGATGGTTTACTGTATGAGTTTCAATCTTCCATGAAATGATTTTTTTGATTTGGTTTAGTTTGTCTAAAAGCCAAAAAACAAAAAGAAGACACTACTTAACTATTTAATCAGTATTGTTCTGATTTGTCCAGTATTATAATTCCACAGTGTACATGTACATGTTGTTGTCGTTTGACATTAAGGTCTGAAATACAACTGTGATAATTATTGAAATTGGTTTCTTTTATTTTTGGACTTGTTGTATAATGTGTATGTATACTGCTGCCGGTACTACTAATGCAACTACCACTACTACTTAATATTACTACTTCTAATACTGCCACTATTAGTACAACAGCTACACCTTCTGCTAATGCTACTAAGACTAATAAGGTTACATTGCCATTACTTCTTCTACTACTACCCCAACAAGAATATTTCCTTCTGATGCTGCCACTAATATTACCGCTACACTTATTGCATCTCTTGAGACTTTTTAAACTAACAGTCCTTAGCTGACTAAACGACAACATCCCTGAAGAGATCAGTCCAGCGAAATTGATATCAGACTTGAAATCGCTTCTTCATACACATTTACTCCATATTATTTTTCATTATATTATTTACTTCCCCATGTATTTTTATCACATGCTGCTTTCTTTATTATTTTATAGTTATATTTTGTGAAAAAAAAAAGATTCCCTTTTTTATCTTAATTTGGCATAATAATGATAAGGGGAAATAATTCAGTGCAGGAAGACAATATAGAGGACAGATTATATATATATATATATATATATATATATATATATATATATAAAATACTGTATGCACAGATGGGTGATAAATTAGAAAAACAAAGCATTCTTTCAAAACATATTCCCACACGTGGTGTTTTGATGATGTGATGGACAGCGTCGTTAAAGACACTGCTTTGACTTTCCCGTATTTATTAAAACATTCAGCTACCTCTCATGCTTTGTACAGAAGCATCTCCATTTGTAAAGTTTCTCCACTCGTTTATTAAGGTTTGTCACCTGGCAAATAAGGTATTTACCTTATCCTGCTAACACTTCGGGACATGCAGTTATTTATTGCGATGGAGAATGCTATATTGTTATTTGAAAAATAATCTTAAAAATAAAGTACAGATTTTAAGTGAACAGGTGATTAATGTGTATGGCTATCTGTGCCGGTGGCACTGTGGTAACTGTATTGTTACATTTCTCCAGGGAAAATTTATAAATAAATCTCAATGCGCTGACATGCAGTGAGCGTGGTAACACATATCTTAATAAACATCTTTGTACCATTTTTGCTGTACCGCATGATGACACTAAATGTAATTATTTTTCACAAACAGCTCAGAGTTGACAAAGTCCAAATTGGTTCCTTATCTTTGTAGCTGAATTTTTGCACAAAGCCATTTTCAGTTCTTTCACTTTTAGTGGTCAAAATAATTATTTGAAAATCTGTTGGTACAGTGCAAAGGAACACATCTAGTTTCATTATTTGTAAGAGGAAAATGTCCCTCTAAGGCATTAACAGGTGAGGGTGTGAGGTGATGAATCTCACTCTGTCAGCAGGACAGTATGTTTGAGTATAGTCTTCCAATCATTGTGTGAGCTCATCAAATCAAAGCTCCGTTGCCTAAAGACATGGATGGCTGGGTCAAATACTACCTGAAAATAATTCTTTGCTTTGGATTTAATCGACTTGGAGTGCCAGTTGAAAGGGGTCTGCCTTAGCAGGTCTGGAAAGTTGGGTAAATCACCAAAAAAAGATATCAAATTGACAGCAAGACAATTTTCTATGATTGTCTTAACTTCATGGTCTGAGGCATCAAGAAAAATCTATCTGTCCCAAACCTACAGTAATGTCACAAAGAGTACTCAACACATTGCACCAGAAGAAATATGACCTGATGACTATATGCTGTCCATCTAATGACGGTGGTTTTGTCCATTTTTTTAATCTTCTTTTTATATAAAAATGTCTTCACTGAACTGAAGTTCAGACATACTGCTGATCTTTGCTCTCAATAAGCAGTGCAATATGGTTGACGGATAAGCCTGGTAATATTCTGTCCTTTTGTTATTGTCAACAAAACCCATGAAAAATCCAAAACCAAACATGTGTTACCTCTCAATACTTGGGCTACCTCTCAATACTTTCCTACTTTCCCAGCATGTGTTTTGTTCCTGCGGAAGATTTAAGTCTTTAAAAATGGGTCACAGATGTATAGTTTCACTTTTACAATTGACTAAATTATTTCCTAAACCAGCTAGGTACTGTAATTTTTAGCAAATGTTACTCAAACAGGAGGAAATTGTGCATTTGTTGGGGACTATTTTCATACGCGGATTGATACACATTTTGTGCACTCAGTTAACATTATCAGCAGCAGAGAAGTGTGTATGTAGGATTGACTCACAATAAACTACGCTGTTTATTGTAATTTTGGAAAACAATGAAGATATCTCAGGCTTTGGATACACAGATGCTACTTGTTAGTAGGATCAGTCATTGTTAGTTTATGGTCTTGGGGTTTGGTGAAAATAAGAAAAGTACAGAATATCAGCAGATGTTCTTAAAGATGAGAGGAGATTTTCTTAATCCTCAATGGAGGATATTTTATCAATATCACAATAGTAACTAGACTATTGACAATCCATATGACAATATGTCAAATGGATGCAAAATGGCAAAATAATCAAACTGATGTTCAATGCAGTGAACTTCGTTCTGTTGTTTTACAAGATTCACAACCCTGCCAATGTGTAACAACCCCTTCAGAAACTCACTCACAATTTGCCTGAATGCATTCATTTAAAAAGCTAATTTTGTTTTAAAAAAACACACACAAAATATGCTCATAGCATGACACAGCTCCACTAGAGGTTCACCTACAAGCAATGAAATTTATTTCTTGCAATCAGCAAAATATATCACTTGTTGTCAGTTGCTTTCTCCTCCTTTTCTTTATTGCAGTCTGCTAGAACCAAAAAAATGCAGTCACTCTCATGAAATAATTCCTGTCCAACTTTTATCTAAACAACTGTAAGCCTAAATCTCTTCTTTTGCATGAAAACAGTCAAATCCCTCCCTCACATTCAGCAGTAAAAGTCTGAAAGTTCCCCCTGTACCGTTGCCACTACTGTTAAGAGTATGATAATGCATAAAAGCGGCCTGTTTCCTACAGAGGAGAGACAGTCCGCTGCAGTAAATGTAACCACTTCACAGAACATGAATATTACAATGGCTCTCGTTGTTGTAGCCTAGAAACAACCCTGGATCCACCTTCGCTGCTCTGTGCGGTCGTCCCTTTTAAGTGTTGCCTGGCAAACTGGAGGACAGGCCTGGTGCATTAGTTTCCCCCCAGCTAACAGTCCTCATCTTGAATAACATCTGACTTCCATAATGGAGAAAAGGCATCTCTGTGACCTCTGCGGAAAAAGGAAGTTCATCTGAAATGTTGTGCCCCCCCACATAATCTAAACTCAGCTGACTGAAAGGTTGAATTTTAACTTGTTTTTTTTTTTTTTGTTTTGATTTTTTGGTAATACTGCGAGGCACATTTTAATAAACTCAATTAACTCCAACTCAATTCACTTAAGCTTCATTCAGTATTCTGGTGATTAAAATGCAGAAAGAATGTGGTTTGGTTGTGGAGCATAGAGAAGCTCAATGCGCCCTCACAGCTTGAAATAAATCTTTATGACGCAAATGCAACATACTCATGTGATCTGTGTTTCCTTTTAGCTGCAATCACATCAGATAAATGCATTTATGATAACTGGATCGATTTATCATCCCGGTGATTTTAGTTTTCATGATCACCAGTTCTCATAGTTCACTCATATTTCATTTACAATCGCTTGTTGTAGTAAAGCAGTGTTCTGTAGCTCTTTGATCACACACACTTGTTTGCGGCGAGCCCCTAAGCGACCCTGCAGTGCAACGTCACTCTAACCTGTGGAATAAACTGCATAAAATGCCAAAGTTAGGCTGGATTAGTACAAGCGGAGTCAGATTTCAGTTGCTGAACTCCCGTCCTGCCTGCGGCTGAACTCAGAGGAGCTGTCCTTTCAGCACCACGCCACATCCCGCTGCTTCTCTCACAGATGCTCTCCATCAGTCCCGTTCAAAAAGTCTCGTTATCGCCCTGCACAGCTCCGTGCCTTCTTTCTGCGCGCTTTCAAAATAAATCCCGGCATGTCTAACACCCTCAACTCGTTCTACTCCGTCATACTTTGAGCTGCATCTTGGTGACGCACCGTGCAAAGTTGAATCATAATGTAGTATAGCTGCACCAAAGGACATGATGTGTGTTTTAACAGAGTGAGCTACGTCATCCTTAGGCGTTATTTCACCTATAGGTGATTTTTAGAGACCGCGTCCACATATCCTCGTATTGTTTGGCCGTGGTGACACAAAGCTCCATCCTTGCTCTACAACTTCCTTTGGAACAGCGAGTGTGTACTGCAACATGTTGCTTTAAAACTTAAGACAGACTTGCAGTACAATGTAAATGTTTGTGATCAGGTCGGATTGTTTGCAACTGCTCTGAATAGGAAGCTTCCGCTTGATTGCCTATACAGACCGTTTTATTGCTTTGGAAATGTAATTGTCCTCATAATATACCATGTCCTGTTGCGCAACAGTGAAAACACACTGACACTGAGACGCACCTGTATTGATTATGGGCTCTCGGTTATACTGGTTTAGAGACTGGGACTCACCAAAAGATACTGAGACTTACCTATGGTGGTTATAACCGTGATGGCAAAGTAAAATGACCCTGCGAATTTCCACTGCACCCCGGCTCTGTGGGGCTCTGCCTCCATGATGATGGTCTCCAGTTTGCGGTAATCATCCTCGCTGATGTTATATTTCCCCTGGAGACGCTTCTCCTCTGCTTCCAGTTGCTCTTTTTCCCGCATCTCGAAGTCGGACTCCAGGGCGTCAAAGACGGCGGCCCCGACGAGCAGGTATGTAAACGTGCAAATGATCAGGGACAAGGTCCGCACGTTTTGCCGCTTCATGGCCAACAGGAACCGGCGACCGAGGGGCTCATGTCCCCTCGGATTCCCCGGGAAGGCGCAGCAAGCGTGGGGAAAGCCGTGTGGACAGCGCCTGGAAGCGGAGGCGCAGAAAGGTGCGCTCCGGTGACGGTGGCCGCGGTGGACGCCGGAGTCGGAGCAGCGGTGGAAATCCCCCGCCTTGTGGTGATCCCGGTGACAGACCCCCAGATCCTGCTCCTGATTTGCGGAGAGACACAAGAGACTGCTCGATCGCCTGGACCAGAAGCCCTGCAGCCGAAAGACCCTGCGCAAGACCTGCCCAAACCAAGTCCTACCGGTGCGCAGTGCCATCAACAAGCTGCTTCCAAGATCGCCTGTTGGTCTCTGTTCTCCTCAAGTGAACTATACAGATCTGAATAAATTCTTCCAACCGAAGAAACGATCGTTAACAGATCCTTTTTTCCCCTTCTCGTTGATGATCCACTCTCTTTGTCTGTGGCGCGACTTAAAATGTTCTATAACTGAGCATATTTCCGCATGTCTCTTAAGTTTCAACTAAACACCAACCTGTTAATTCTCACCTCATCAGCATTCAGGCTATTTTTAGCAGCCATTTCCCATATACAAAAAAAAATCCAATTTCTGTGAAATCCTTAAATCTTCCTGGCAAACAGCAGACATCCTCATCAGAAATGTGCTGAGTCGACGATAACATGGGAGGGTCACAGAGGATCTCAGAGGAACATCAAGTTGGGAAATGTTACTCTCGCTGCGCGCAGATCATCACACCAAGCACACACAACCTATTTCCCTTTACAGGTTCTTCGGAAAACTCACCACTTGTTATAGGAATAAAAAAATACTCCAAATAAATCATCGCCAACAACAGGTTTATATCACAAATAAGAATTTCTCCGAATGGATATCTTTTTTAGGGTGTGTAGAAGATGGAGCGCGTCAGAAAGATGCTTTAGAGCTCGAATAAATAAACATCATAAAAGGTCACAGCGCGCTCCGTGCCCGCAGTGGCACTCATGCTCCATTGCGCACATCCAAATCTCCTCTCCCATACTGTCTGCTGATCACTTTGAGCGAATTTTGGAAAAAGAAAAACAAAAGAATGCATTTGTTTTCCCTCGTCGTGCGGGGGCTTCTGAGTTAACCATGCGTGTCACGAACTGCTCCTATTTTGAAGGCTCCACATTTTATGTCTCCACACACTCCAGACTGTAATCGGTGGGCGTTGCTCCTCCTGTCTCTGTTTCTCTCTTTTTTCCCAAGTGTCACGAATCAACCCAATTCTGGCCTGAGCATCTGCCTACTGAGCTTTCTCTTAGGGAACAATCGGCTGGGGTACAACTGACTGCCCCCCCACCCCCACCCCACCCCACCCCCCTCCTACAATGACTACTCCTACGCATTATATGGACAGTGGGGGTTTACTCAGATGATCACATTAGTGCTTTTTACATTCCGGCAGCAGTGGGACATCAGCGCACTGGTCCGCGGGCTCAGCTGCACAGGCTGCTGCGCTGTCCAAGGTGCTGGAGGCTGGTTGACTGATGCGCTGCTGCGCACAATACAATTGCAAGTTACACACACACACACACACACACACACACTTTGCGGAATCATCAGACACATCTGGAGCAACAGGGAGGAATGAATATAAAGAGATTTTTATGAACAATCCTCCTGAGAAACTGGATCAGCACTTGGGCAAAGCAGGCAACTGCCCCAGACCCTTAAAGGCCCATAGGCCCAAGGTTCACAGTGTGGCAACCAGCTCCTGGTAATTTGATTAATTGTGTAATTGTCAGTAATGCACCACTAAAGCACAACATAGACTGAAATGATATTGGCCTTAAAGTAAACCTGATAATGACTTAATCTTAAGGGACTGCCAAACCTTTTTATAATGCCTCTATTTTTTTCAGTTTACACTGAAAATGTATAACAATGTGACTGTTCAATGTCTAAAATGATTAGTTTAATATTGTTTTGACTTTTTGCTGTGTTATTTTACATTAGTGCTGAAGGAAAAATATTCATTTTAAATCTGAAATATATAGTTTGTATGAGTTTATATTGTAGCATTCCAAGGTATGCATGAAGGAAACTCCCTGCATGCACTGGAGCAACAGACTGATCTAGTGAAGCCTTATTTTTTACATCATCCCCTATTGGTGTTTCTGTGATTAACAGTGTGCTCTATAATGTTTCCACAATACTGTTATTGCTGTAAAATTAGTAATAAAGTCTGTTAGACCAGGTTTGATTTTGTGTGATGGTTACTTGCTCTCCGATGTGAAGTCATATAGCAGACTGAGTTGGTGGCAAAACCCTGGCTACCCAATCATTTCTTTGTCAATAACAAAAAGCCAAATGTGAAGTGCCCATGTAACCGGCTGGCCCCCGAGAACGTACTGCACGGTCCTGACCTGAACCGGCGCCTTCGGGTATGAGAGGCGGACATGCCGACGAGGAGGCCAAAACCCATGGGCACTAGCGTCAGTCGCCAGTGCGTCTCTTGAGGTGTCGGGGAGTGAGGTTTAAACACTGCACAGCCTCGCTGGCCTCCGTCACATCGAAAGGCATGCTCCCTTCTGCTGAATGGACACAGGCTAGTCATATGCAGCTTAAACCACCATCATGACAGATCAGAATTTTGAAAAACTGATTGATTTTGCACTGTGCTCTTGAACGCCCTTGTCCGTGCTGAATGATTTAGTGCCTGTTTAAACCACCTGAAGTGCTGATGAAGCTCAAGTTGTGATGAAAAGCTTGACAAGAGCTATCAAAATGGACCCTGTGGTGAGACTACTTGCAAAATAGTTGTTTCCAAGAACATTAATGAACTTCGGTCCTTAGGCTTTGCTAAAGTAGTTTACTTGCATTTGGCAAGTGCTAATTTTGAATCCTGCTTTTAATGAGTAGGTAGTGAATGAGGAGTTGTTCCTGATTAACTTGAACCAGCTGCTGAGTGGCACAAAACTACTAATTACTAGGTCATTAGTTACTGTTTTTGTACTCCCTTAAGTGAAACACCATACTAAGTAGTTACTAAGTAATCATTTATTATTCTAAGATAATGACAATAGCTACAGAGTCTTCACTGGTGAATTCAAAAACTCTGTTGCTGGAAAAAAAACAATTCATTAAATTATTTGGTAGTTTCTGATTCATTCCTCCCTCATTCCTTAGTAACTCACTATTTTGTGTACCACATTGTAAAGTGTTATCAATTATTTCATTGAATAATCCTCCATGGGACAATTTTTCATAAGTTCATAAGTGGCTCCCACATCTTTTCAGTCTTTGGTCTTTTCCTTTAATGCAAATGTTAATTCTCCACATATCACATGCTTGAAAGTCATTTTAGTCATTAGCTATTTGTAAATGTACATATACATAATCTTGGTAACTCCCCTTCAGCCCAGACACTTCCAAAAATTGGAGAGAATGGGGACAGTTGTGAGGTTACACTTAAAAACCGTTGCACTCTAAACCATCATTACAAAAGGGATTTTCTGACTCTTATAAATTTGACAAGATGTTTGGAGTATAAGCTTGTATGTAAAAGCAAAATGGATGTTGTATCTTGTTCAAGAGTCTGGGAATCAAAACATTGCTGCTTTACAGTGCCCAGCTACCCATATCTTTTAATAAGATGTCATAATGCTGGTATATATTGTACCAAATTGGAAAAGAACAAAACTACGTCATCTGCATAAAAGGTCAGCCTATTCTCTGAGCTTCTGGATTTAATTCCAGAAATATCAGAATAAGATATACGGTTCTATGAATAGAATAAATAGCAATGGTGGAAGGTTGAGGGTGACACTCACACACAATTAAGGAAAGGAATCAGAAGTGATGTTTTTGGTTAATACTTCCCTAGTGAAAAAAACTTAGGTGTATTTAAAATACATTGAAATATTTAAAATATTTTTTAAATATACTGACACATTTAAGTACTAAGTTTGCACTGACAATTATTCTCTCTGCTTTTTGGGAGACTTCTGAGGAATCTCTTTACTATTTGAATAGGTACGTGCGTCGTTCCATTGAAGACTCAAACGTGGATGTTGCCCACAGTGATGTCCAATTGTGCAAACTTGGTGCCAAAAGCATCAACAAATGTACATTGAATGAAACATTAGCAGCAACATAGAATTTTTTTAAGTCAACTAAAAACTTAGAAAGTGCCTGGTTTGCCATGTCCACATTGCTCACTTTGATGACATCCTGAAGAAGAATGTTGAAAGCAGAAACTAAATAAAAAAAGATGATTCCTGTACTACTTCAAAATGACATTCAAGACAAGCAACAATCTATACTTTATGTTTTTTGTGCCCAACTACCAGTCTTTATCGCAGTGCTTACTGTCTAACCAGAGAGATGTGTGCTGTCTAGTTGGCCCTAGGCAGACACTGTGTTGGTACTCAGGAACAAAACCAGTGATAATGTTAAAGTTCTCAAGTTCCATCAGAGGGGATTGGCTTTTCTTCTCTCCAGGTCTCTCCACCTGGCTGTTCTCCATTCCTGGGGCCTCATTTATAAAACTGGGCATAGGGTTCTCATCAGAAGGCTGCATACGAACAAAACACAGAAAGTGCTAATGCACAAAAGTATTTTGATTTATAACACAGTGCGCATGCATGTCCCCACACCGGTTTCCCTTTACAAACCACAATCAACCTGAAAGTTGCCGCATATGAGCAAGGATTCTTGTCCCGCCCTTTTGATGCCCTTTGTCGCTTACAAATATTCAGTGAAACGCCCCAAATTAACATTAAATACAGACTGACGGCGTTGAGATAAGGATGGCAAATTCTGACAGACATGGCAAAAACGTTTTTTTCCATTCAGTGTGAAATCGAAGTTCTTGTTGGGGACATTCCCTCGTTTTGAAAAGAGAGTAAACCAAATGCATTTAAGTTGTGTTTAAACATTTACACAAACACCACTCGATTAACGAGGCTGCCAAGGAGTTAAAAAAAAAATTACATGACATAATC